TGATGTTGAAGAATATTGAATTTTATATCGAATGATGAGAAAGGGACTCATTGAGGTGAGCAAAGGCTTTAAGGATGTGAAGAAGTGAGCCACTTGGATATCATGGCTGAACTGAGCCAGAGGTAGAGAGGTGGCAGATGAAGTTAAAGGGATGAGAAGAGACATAATGTATGGGACTCCAGTTTCTCCTTTCAGTGAGTGGAAATCAGAGAGTCATATGCAGAGGTGGGAACAGGACTTGATTTAGCTGTATCAATACCAGTGTCGGCAGCTACGTTGAGAATATACCAGATGGGAGCCAAGTGGAGACTGTAGTGAATTGGACCAGAGTGGCCACAATGGAGGTGAGGGGAAATGGTCAGATACTGAATATTTACAGGCAAACCAGGATTTGCAGATGAATTGGAGGTGGAGTTTGAGAAAAAGACAGAAGGGAATGTAGCCTGAGCAATTTTAAGGATGGAGTTTCTAATAACAAAGCTGAGGAAGACCATGGTGGAGCATGTCTGTACGGGAGATCAAGAATTTACTCCTGGCCCTGCCGGTGTGGCTCAGTGGGTGAGCGTGGACCTATGAACCAGGAGGTCACAATTGGATTCCCGGTCATGCTGGGGTTGTGGGCTTGATCCCCAGTTGGGGGTGGGCATGAGACAGTCTACCAGTGATTCTCTCTCATCATTGATGTTTCTCTCTCCCCCTCTCCCTTCCTCTCTGAAATCAATAAAGAAAAAATAAAAGAATTCACTCCTGGAATGCTGAGTTTGGGATGTGTAGGAGAGAGCCACGTGGAGATGCTGTTGGATAAGAGTGAAGCTCAGGAGAAAGCTATTGGCTAGAGCTTTAGGTCTGAAGTCCCTCCTCACTCATGGTAATGATGGTATTTAAATGCCTTGAGACTGAAGGAATGACGAGTGTGCATTTGAAGAAGAGACCCAGGACTGAGACTTGTGGCCATGAAGGGAAAGGAGAAGGGAAAACGAGGAACAGCAAGTGGAGTGATTGAGGAACTATCTGGTGCTGTGTGTTCATCAGATCAGAAGCAGAATGAGGGTGGCATTAATGTTGGCCAAGGCTCTATTTCCCCCAACTCCATTCTTATCTGCCCATGTCTGGCTGCGCATAGTTGGCATGATCTGAAGAGATGAAGGACAGGGCCCTTAGCAGCTCATTCCAGGATTCTTCAGCATCCTCTTTCGTCTCTACCCCTAGCTCTGATAAGTCTGGTCATTCATTCAACAAACATTTGCTGAGCACCTATATATGTGCCAGGCCCTGGTCCAGGCTCTGAATGAATAAGCCAGACAAGGCCTGTGTCCTTACGGAGTGTTTTAAGAGAGGGAGGGAGGAGAGAGAGAGAGAGGAGAGAGAGAGAGAGAGAGAGAGAGAGAGAGAGAGAGAGAGAGAGAGAACATTGTTGCCTCCTGTATGTGCCCAGACCAGGAACTGAACCCACAACTTTCTGGTGCAAGGGAGAATGCTCCAACCAACTGAACCACATGGGTCAGGGCCCTTATGGAGCTGAAACTCCAATGTGGGTGGTGCAGATAATAAACAGTCAACAAAATGGTAAACAAGAAAATTTCTAACCCAGGGTTAAGGGAATAGAGAGCGACCTGCTTTGGTTAAGGGGATCACGAAAGTGGTCTTTTTGAGAAGGTGACATTTGAGCTGAGACCTGAGTGCTGAAAAGATGATCATCAGAGCTGGGGAACAAGGAAGGTTCCCTCTGGAAGGAAGTTCGGGTTGCTGCAGGGAAGGAGAGAAGGCGAGGCCAGTACAGAATCATGGTGAGGAAGGAGCCACTTTATACAGGAGCTTGTGGCAGTGGTTAAGAACTTGGGTTTTATTTTTTTAATATATTTTATTGATTTTTTACAGAGAGGAAGGGAGAGGGATAGAGAGTCAGAAACATTGATGAGAGAGAAACATCGACCAGCCACCTCCTGCACACCTCTTACTGGGGATGTGCCCGCAACCAAGGTACATGCCCTTGACCGGAATCGAACCTGGGACCTTTCAGTCGGCAGGCCGACGCTCTATCCACTGAGCCAAACCAGTTACGGCAAGAACTTGGGTTTTATTCTGAGTGTGATGGGGACACATGTGGTGAGGTTAAGCAGAGGAGTAAGGAGATCCAGGTCAGATGGAGAATGGACTGTAGGGGGCAGAGTGGAGGCAGGGAGGAGAGGAGGCTTTCCAGCCCTGGCAACACGTGGTGTTGGGAGAGGAAGGACCGGGATGCACCCTTGAGTAGATGAATGGGTCAGGCAGGCACGTCAATTAAGCACTTCTTTGGATCAAGGCCTGTGGGCAAAGCAAGGGACCTACTTAAAGAACGCTTGGGAGGCACAGTCCTTGCCCTCAGCGTATTTAGTGTTTAATTATAGGAAACAGACCACACACCTAGAGGTGTCGTGTAAACACAAAGCAACCATTAAATCAGTGCACAGTTGTGGCTGAAGGGGAACTGGAAAGGGAGCGACCGGGGCACCCCGCGAAGAGACTTTGGAGCCTTTAAACCGGGCGGCGGCAGACTCCGGTCCACAGCAGGCTCGGCTGGGTCCCGGCTCCTGGCCCTCGGCCCCGCGTGGCTGCCTGCGCTGGAAGGTCTCAGACCGTGGCTCCAGGCTCCAGTTTCCCAACTTCTAAGGAGCGCTGACAAAGCGGGTGACGAAGGGGAGGTCCCTCCCCGGCTCGCCGCCTTCTCGGCTGGGAGTGACTCATTTACCTCGCTCCCTCCCTCGCGGCTGACCCCGGGCCAATGCCTTAATGAGCCTACACCTCACTCTACCCATCTGGCAGGGACAATTGCCTGGTGGAGTTTTCAGCTCCCCGGGGCAGGGCTCGTGTCAGCAGCCGACCAGGTTCCTCGACAGAGGCTTCTCGAAGGGTCTGGAGGAGCATAGAACCTTTGGGGCAGTCCCACGGCCCGAGGCCCTCCCCATGCACCGAAGCAGGCGGGGTGTGAATGCCCGTGCATTCCTCTAATTTCAGTCATCCAACAGCATTTTGTACTGAGTGCAGTTTCGCAAGTCTTGATGTCCTGGAGCATTCCCCCCGCTCGGTCACCTCTTTAAAAATTTGCTTGGGGTTGGAAGAAGCAACCAGACCAGGCCCCCAAAGCCTGCAGGGTCGCCCAGAAGCTCAGGGACATGAGCGCGAGGGGACAGACCGACCGGCGCCAGGGCGCCCAGCGCAACCGAAAGCC